AGTTGCTTTGCGGCGAGGCCCACCGCGGCCGCCTCCAGTACCTCTATCCTGGCGGTGGCCCATCGGCCATCCGTCAATGGCTGCATTTGGATGAGGGTCTTCCCGCTGTGGTGGATCATGACGTATCCTAGCGTTGGCTCGCCGTTCGGCCCGCCATCTGTTGACGCGTCCGTGAACAGGAAGCTCAGAGGCTTCGCGATTTGTTCTAGCCTGAGTCTGAGCCTGTTCACCTTGTGGACCATCTTCTCGATGGCCGCAGTGGAGCGCAGGAGGGCTCTCCGTTGCCACCGCTGCTTCACCAACTTGTCGAAGGTGGCGTCTTCTGTCCATGCGTAAAGAGATCTCATGATCTCGTTTCCGGCTCTGTTTGCCGCGGACACGGTGATGAAGTTTGCCAGTCCGAGCAGTCGTTGGACCACTTTTTTGTCCAACTGTCCTGTGTTCACTTTCTGCCGGAGCTCGTTTGCGACTTCCGCTACCTGCTGGAGCATGTTGTCTGGCTCCACAACATCAATTCCCGTTTTTGGGCTTGTGTCGTAGTGGAGGCCCAGTATGCGCACAATAGGGCTCTTTCTCGAGTCCTGCTGTGCTGTCGCTTTTGTCGCGAGCTCCAGCCCCATGCAGTCGCAGAGAGCTTCGTATGCCTCTATTGCCTCATCCGCTCCCTCTTCGAGACTGAGGACGATGGCGTCGTCGATGTAGATTGGCACTACTGTGTGCCCGAGCGTGGCCATTATTTTCATGACCAGCTCCGCCACTCTACACCAGCTGCTGACGCTGAACTTGTTCCCCATGTTCAGTATCGCCGCGAGGAACATGCGGTAGCGCCCCTGGGTGTCGTCCCATACTCCAACCGGGTTTTCCTCCGGGTGTTTTACCCCTACCTGGTAGTAGGCCTTGCTCCAGTCTCGGAGTGCGATGCAAGGCTTTCTACCTGCCGGGCGGGTCTTCATCCTCTCCTCGTTGAGGAGCCTCACCTGCTCGCCGAGTTGGCGGTGCTCGTCGGTGGTTGTGGCTTCGCTTGCGCTTGTTTTTGCGCGGAAGTCTGCGACCTCTTTAGCCACCTGGCCGCAGATATCCGTGGTGAACTGTGTCGCCGGCGCGTGGAGGGTGAGGCCCTCTGCGCCTGCAGGCGCCATGTAGCTTTTTACAATCTCCAGGACCGTTCGCGTCCCGTGGAGCCTCACCTTTTCCGACATTTTTGAGAAGTCGTTTTTCCACCGCTCGTCGATTATCACGCGAACCTTCTCTGGTTCGACCTTTGGGAAGGCGTTCGCCGGCATGACCTTGAGGTCCTCTGGGTTGATCTCTTTGTATCTGCCCAGCTGGTCGTCTGCCTCAATGTTTTTGAGGACTTGCCGGAGGGCTTCCTCTGGGAAACCCTTCGGGGGCGCATCCCGGATTTTTACCGCGGTGCTATAGAATTCTTTGAGGTCCTTTGCCTCCGCGGCATTGACGTCTGCC